TGTCCTCCGTTACAACAATTCCTCCAACAACAAATTCATTCTTCACATCAAAATTTTACCATTGTTATCGTTTCAAAATCAATCTGTTAAATTGTTGAATTTTTTTTTGCTTAATTTCAACCATAATTTTATGTCGGTTTTTTCTTTACCGTCCATTCTCATTTTTTTTTTCAATGCGATAATCTTTAGTCTTCCTTTTTTTTTGCTCTTCCACACCAATGATATATTATGTTTATTTGTTGCTTCTTTTTCGTTTTTTTTTTGTCATTCTATTCAAAAAAAGAAAAAACAAAAAGAAATTAAATGTTCACATTTATACTTTATTTATTTTCTTTCTTTCTTTTTTTTTTTTTGTAAATTGGACTTATAATCTCATATTTTATACCTTCTGAAAAATTACATAGCAGACATTTTTTTTTACTGCACAATACATTAACATTTACCTCCAAATCTGTGTTCAAACTGTTGCTGCCGTTTTAGCAGTAGTAAAAAAAAAGAAATTTTTTTTTTTCAGTTACAGTTAATCATAGAAATTATACGAAAAAAAAAAAAAAAAAAAAGGCGATACAAACGTTCACACAGTAAAACTCAGACACAGAGACACAGTGACACCAACACGGAATAAATTTTTGTTTAAACTTTCAATGTGTATTCAGCTTGATTAAATCCAATCCCAATTCCAATCCCATTCGTCGTTAAAATGTCGTCAAACTTTCCATATCATTTTTTTTTTTATCTTCTGCTTTAACAATAATTTAGACTTTTTTTTAGAAAAAATTGAATTAAAAATTTTTTTTTCTTAAAACTATAAACAACATTTGCTCTTTGTTATCCAATTAATAACTAAAATTTATTTCCACTTTATTCCATCTTTCTCTCTCTGATATTCCGTTGATCTTCTGTCATTAAAATTATTCCCCGCAAAATAAACGGAAAAAAGTTACAAATAGATTCATTATGTAAGACATAATTATGGTATGTTAAATGCTTTTTCTGACACACTTTTCTGATTTTACTGTTGACATATCTGATGCCATTTAAATAGTATATCAATATTGCTGTCGCGCTAATTATGCATTAGTATTTCAATTACAAAAAGTGATTTCCGGTATTTCCGATAACTGACTGCTGAGCTGAAAGTGTAACGTAAATTTTGTGTAACAAAAGTAAATTATCCTAAAATGATATTTGTTAAAAAACCAACTTTTCCCCACTGACAAACTTTTTTTTTTGTCATATCGTTCACAACGACCCAACTGCAACTATGTGACTGTAATTTTTGGTTTTTGTAAAAAGATCAAAAATTGCTGGGATATGGAAGCATAAATTGATGAAACTGTCAATATGACGTTTAATCTTTTCAATTTTAGCTGCTGTTTTTTTTTTTTTAGCGATTCAGCGATGCGTATATTCAACATTTTTTATTTATTACTACTGTCCATTCATCTACGAACTGTATTCTCTGACAGCGATTTTGATTTCCAAGCATTCCTGGAAGGCTTTAGCAGTCCACCAGTAACCACTGAAGTCTCTATAGAAGATTACTGCCGTCTAAAGTATGATGAACAGCCAACTTGTAAGACTTGCATCGATAAAGGCAGTGTAAGCTTCGAATTGCAGTCTGATGTTTAATTTTTCTTTCTCCTTTTTTCTCAAATCAAATGTATTCCGAACCTTCTCTAGCTTTTGCTAAATTCATTATTCCCAAAAAAAAACCAGATGTTTCCAGAAGACTCATAAATCTGAACAAAAATTACTGTTTACGCACAGCAGTAAGTTCCAAGAAAAGAACTTTTACAATCAGATCCTCTTTTAAAATTACGTCCTCTAAAAGCACCGTTCCAAAATAATCGTATTTTAGAACTTACCCATACACATGGCTTTATAGATAAATGAAATATTACTTTTCCAATAGCTTTGAATACAGAAAAAACTTTTTGACGACGAATTAAACTATAAATTTTCAGCCAACACTTCCTAAGCTAAGATTCTAACATCTGCAAAAACAGGCTCTTCAACCAGTAGACAGCAACAAACAAAATTTTTTAAACTTTTTAAAAAAGTATATTTTAAAAAAAGTGAGACAATTTCAAAACAGTTACAGAAAAAAAACTATCTATACCCAACTAATATATAAATCGAGCACTTTCTTTGTGTTGGTCATCTAATGCCCATTTTCCAGCAATGCTTTTGGTGTGAATCCACAAAGAAATGTGCCAGATATGAATGGTACTTCCCAAATTGTCCATTAAATCAAGTTAACCATGATAACTGTTGGGGTAAGTCTTCAAAAAATTTCAAAATCATCTAATTACATAAACACACCGTGAACGACATACTCTGTTGGATATGACAAACCAATTAAAAAACTGCTACTGTCAGAAGTGAGTCGGTAAATTTTTTCAGTGAACTTAGCTGCTCTTGTTATAACCCTATGTATCATCGGTGGAATCCTGTTAGTCATCCTCTTATCCTGCCTTGGTTACATTTGCCTCCGTTGTAAACGATGTCGAAAAGCAAGAAGGCAGAGGAGAGCTGACAAAGAAAACGCAAAAAGGGCAGCTCGAGAAGCTGAAATACAACAACGACAGGAACAACGAAGAGCCGAACGAAAAGCTCAGAGCGACTACTACCGGCAAAAATACGGTAACTCACACAGAAATTTTTCAAAAAAGAATTATTATATTCGAGAATCCAAAAAAAAGTATAACAAAAATATTTCAATGACGATAATAAAATGTTCAAAAAACAGCTTCATATTCTTTAAAATTAAACAAATGTTCAACTAGAAAGAGAAATTCTAGCACGCACAGCTTGACAAACAGAATTTTTTCTAGGAATCTCGGAACCGAAATCACTAAAGGACCCAACAAGCTGAAATCAAAGTTCATAAACTCTTCCAACTATGGTCTTGAAAATCAAAAGATACGGGTAATAAATGAATCAGAGACTACAGTTAAATGATACATACTGACACAGAAAAAACAGGACAGCTTCTGAAAAGAACACAAAGAAATCAAAAACAACAAATCCAATGACTCTATGTTACTTTCAGCAAATTTTAACCTTGTAATTGCAGATATGAAATGTTAAAAACTCTAACGAGTTAATTTTTCAAGAGCTTTCAAAAATGATATTAACAGCAAACTTGATATATTGAACAATAAGAAGAAAGTACAAAAGCACAGGTGGACTTCTCACTTACGAACAAGAATGCTTGAAGATTCTTTCAACAATTTCATGGAAAATATCTCTTCGCTCCACCCTTATTCCTCTCTAGAATCCTCAACCGCGTACACCAAATACCTATCATTAGAAGTTCATATGCTACCCAAGTAACCAGAAAAATTGAAGTTACAAGAATACAACCAGGCTACACCTTGTGTGCCAGTCATTTAAATACTGATTACATAAAATTGAGAAATATTCCTTCTAGGTAAGCTGTAAGTAAAAAGTCCCACTAAAGCTTCTCACTTCAGCTGCTATTTTAGGTAATTTATACGTCCAGATCTCGCACTGCTTTCGCAACAAAACTCTGACATGAATGTCTTTTAAGCTCAAAAGCTACCGTCAATAGTAAGCACAGATGAAACTGAGCAGAGCACACAAATTTCCTTTCCAAAATCCAAAAATATAGGAGGAAAACAAAATCAAGTATAAGACATGACTGCACCAGATTTAGTGAGAAATAACATGAACAAGGTCAAAAAATGCTACACTCTGATATGACCTCAGCACTCTTGACTAAAAGTAATTATTCTGATGCTAAACTTTTATAAAATAACTACGTGACATAAGTATAAATACCGAAGATATTTACGACGGCGGAGAGATGTTTGGCAGGCAGTCAAAATCAATGCCATTAAAAAATACATGTGATTTAACTTTTGATGCTCCACCACAAAATGTAGACCCTAATCTTTCTTTAATATCTACAACAACAAGGTTCTTCACCAAATCACCAGCTGAAGGGGGAAAATCTTCCGGTAGCTCATAATTTGCCTTGATAATCTTCTGGTATATCAAATATTCACTTACTTCATCGAACAAAAACTTGCCAGTTACAAATTGGTAGATAATGACACCTAAAGCCCAGTAATCACACGCTTGTTCGACAGGCTCACCGAGTAAAACTTCAGGACTAACGTACTGAGCCGTACCGACGAAAGAACACTTTCTAAAAATAAACTAATTTAAATTCCACTGCCTGATATGTGACTACAACAAATAAATTAGAGAAAAATCAAGTGGAAACTTTAGTACAGAAAACATACATACCAAGAAATTGATAAAACATTGGACTGAATGGATCTACTCTGGCCCAATACATAAAAAGTTATGAGTTATAAAATATATTTTACAGCCTACCGCTTAACCCTTGTGTCCACCTCAGCCATCGTGTCTACATAATCCAATATTTTGGAGGAGCCAAAATCGGAAATTAGTATATGACCAGATTCAGAAAGAAGGATATTTTCAGGTTTTAAATCCCTTAAAAATATTACTCTGGTTTTTTTTTCAAGACTGCGAAAAAAATTTTTATAGTACAGAATCGACAGTTCTATTGAAAAATTGAAGCTGATATAACGGTTTGCACTTTTGGGCAGCGAATCATTTCGTGATTACAAGCATATTTGGATACACTGTCAAAAGGAAACACAGTTAGCGGAATGCTTTAAAGTAGAAAGTTTAACCAAAAATAAAGCAAATAACTAAAAAGTTTTGCACTTTAAAAGTAAAGAGCTTCAAGAGAAAAACTGATAAGTTAAACAAGGCAATATACCTGTGGATAATTTTTAATCCATGCATATGAGCGAGTGCTGCGACTATTTCACTTACGTAGAACCTGGTCGTTTCCAATGAAAAAACTTTTTGCTTCTTGAGTTTTTCCAGTAACTCACCACCCTGCATTTTTTCAATGTACTGCTGTTCATAAGGAGCATTATGACATCATAATATGCAAAGAAAGCTTACTTTTGCTAAAGTAGTAACTATATATAACGACTCGGGATCTTGAAACGTGCAGTAAACTTGAATTATAAACGGATGAAGATTACCAGTTTTCGAAAGCCTCGCCAAGGCCTAAAAATTGTAAAAGACAGTTAGACTAATTCCTCTTTCAGAAATCACTTTACCGTCAAAAATTAGCTTTTAAACGCACCCAAATATATCACATAACTTAACAAAAGTCTATAAATTGACATGACTGCTTTGAATAAAAAAAATTTTATAAAAAAGTGCACTTAAAGCTACAGACTTCCTTTTCTCGATAAATCTGCTGAACTTTCCGGTCTTTTATTATAAGCTTTTTCGTGCAAACTTTGGCAGCAAACTCTCGTCCAGTACTCCGTTCTTTAACAGTATAAACAGTGGAAAAAGACCCATCTCCTATAAAACCGAAGATAAAAGATTTTAGAAATACGGTGCAAAATAAAAAAAAAAAAAAAGAAATAAAAATAAAAATAAGGACAAAAAACCATACCAATTTCATTCAAAAATAAAAAATCAGCTTTTGTTTTTTTCGCTTCCGGATTCTTGCTAGCACCATCTCTTGAACACGAAGTTTCCTTACTGCAACTTGGCTTTGACAAGTGATTTTCATCATTACTTGAAGAACTATTAGGACCAACAGAATTAGGTTCCATAATAAACCGAAAAGCTAAAAATATAGTATGTAACGTAAGAAAATAGCGTTTATTCATCCATTAAATTATGCCAATGGCTGCTGAAAATGAGTGAGGGAACGAATGATATAACAATGAAAGCTTAGGGACGGCCACAATGAGTCCAAAAACAAAGTTATTAACCAGTGATTACAACAAAAAGCTGCTACATAATAACTTGGTAGTTTACTTAAATGCCATTGAAGAACTGGCGTCTATATCATACGTATATTCAGCTGTTCAAGGAAGTAAAAGACATAAAAAAAGTAACTCTTTAGACATTTTAGACAAGAACGGTAGTTTTGATTCTCAATAGATTTTCCAGAAACATCAATAAAAATAGAAATATTTGATCAACTTCTGCTAATCAGTAACCAAATAAAAAGATCAGTTCGATGCAAAACTAAAAAGCCAAGATTTTATCTTCTTTATGAAGCAAAAGAAAAAAATTTGTACCATTTTGCTCATCAATAATTTTTCTCATCTTCTTCAGTGGCACTAAAGCCTAACAACAAAGTTTGGAACTATGTCTTCCATTGCTTAAAAAAGACGAACAAACTAAAAGACGTTTGATAAAAAACACTTGAGTTTTAAAGTACTAATATAGCGGCTTGACTATCAACGTAGCAGCACTATTGCGCACCAAACGACAATACCAGAAAAACTAAAGACTTATAGCTTATCAAGACGATTATCCTCTGATTTTGCTTCCCTTTTCTGATATGGTTACAGCTCATGAAAACAATTACATGAACTGCGAAATCTGGAAATGATTAACGGTACTAGTACGCAAGAAATTTTGGCAAAGGCTTACCAGTAATACCGGTAATTAAAATGAAGAGGAAAAAAATCCTTCGAGCAAGTATATATATGTTTTTTGTTCAGCTATCAGACATGGCTTATATGCAGTTGCCCATACCAAATCACTCTTGTTCCTAGAGGTGGAAGTAGTTGTATCAGTCCCGATAACTATCACTGTTGTCTACATTACAAGCGTAGCGTACTCGTTGTATTTCAAACAACGTTCCTGTTTGAATCCTGAAAACACTGAATTTTCCTCTCGTCGCCCTATAGAATGTTTCACTTTTTACCACATCATCCAAAACACTGTTCGTGACAAATCAGAATAGATGAACCCATATTAAACGCTTAGTACAAGCTTGGTAAAACTAATGCCGCCAAGAATAAGCGTTTTTTCTTAAATCTTCGTGCTCATTAACAAGGACAGGTTCACAAACCACATTCATTTCCTTTACAAGTAACCATACGAGGAAGATCTTCTGAATTTCATCTTTCGCGGTACACAACTGTTCTTCCCTTAAAGTATTTAACAGTCAAAGAACTGTAGCTATGTTAGTGTTCCTCGTTAAAAAAAAAATTACTAAACCAGTCTTCGTGTAGATATCCGAGCAAAACAGATCGGAAAGGCCACCTAAATGATGTCCGCCAAGATAACAGATTACACCTTAAAAAAGTTTAGCTTTTTTCTTTCTACTGTTTGCAGAATTTGCTGACTGAAACCAGAACGTCTGCTCCAGCGACTGATTCGGAACAATCGCATTTTTAGTTAAGCAGCCCAAAAAAACGAAATGATAAATATTCATCCGACATGCGGTGTTCTATGTTCATTGGCAGTGCACTGTGCCTTTGGTTATTTTAAACCGTCCAACTTACACGATGATCTGCCACATACAACCAGCAGTTTCAGCCGTCCAAAGATAGCAACTTTCAGCAAACTAACACCTCACGAAAGGAAATGAAAATGAGCAGAAGTAAATGCTTCAGATCTATTCTCCTTGGTGTAATCGGCTATCATCGACTGATTGCTGCTATTATAAACTTTTTTCAGCCAAAAGTACATGTCTGAAAGAGTTGTATTCATTTAAAACAAAGAATCTAACAAGAAATACTGGAAGTATGAAGTTGTCGTCTATACACTTGTGTAGATCGGCCCTTATAATTCAAAGGTATAGATCTGCCAGCAAATGGGAAACAGTAAAAAAGTGGCAAACAGCATGAGAAAACCGCAGTTTTATCAGGCAGTAACGAAGCCGTTCTTTTTTTTTTCTTGTATCACTCATCATCACTGTGACAATGGTTATGAAAAAACTTCACCTTTCATTACAAAGTAAAAAAAAATTGCAACCAGATTCGTCTACTGAAGCCTAAGTCACCGAAGATCCAAAATTCGAATATCCGAAAAGTAAACAAATGAATGAAACTTCAAGCATGTTTTTCGGGAACAAATTAACGAATATTTTTGAATTTGAAATTTTTCCAGGTGATGAAACGACAAAAACATAATCAATTGAAACATACATTTGCTGATTCTTGGAGCTACAGACTCAACAAAACTGACTTGTAGACTGCTGCTGCTGCCGCTGCTGCTGCTGCTACTATTACTACTATTACTGCGACTGTTCAACTGTTTAAACACTAGGGGCAGTCCTCTGTTCTATGGGCTGACTGATCAGCAGCTGACTGGGCAAAACATTCCTTAAAGTGGCATTTGTTAGCAAAAATGTTGAAAAGAACTGCCAACGATGATGGAGCACTTCGTGAACGGATTTAAGGTAATCAAGTTTGCGGTTTAGCATAGTCACTGATAAAAAGATTTCTGCTCCCTTAAGGCGTCTCAAATGCAACGTATTTTTTATGTATTTTTGTATCCTTTTAACGCACTGCCATCACTGCTGCGTAACTCAGTACGTTCAAATTTTCTGGCAATAAATCGTCACTTTTATCAATACTAATTTATAAACCAACTAGTTAGCTAAACAAAAGCATCAGTGTTTTCTATTTAACGAAAAGATCTAACCATCTAGATGAATAAAACGCAGCATACCAGGGGAATCAACCGTGAAGGATTTGTTGATCCGAACAGTGAATTTGGCTAAACCTGAGGTGTACAGAAACTAAAATGTTGCTTCATTACTCAATTATTCAGAGGTGCTGAATTCGTGTCGTGACACTAATGTTTCTGCCATCTGAACGGTGTTATCATCTGGCGCCTGCTATTGTCTAACATTCATTAGGAACCAGTGTTTGGAAGGCCATCAGCAATTTTTTGATCGTTTCAGATTTTCCATAAGCATAGATGCACACTTTGCCCTGGGATTTGTAGTCCCAATCAAGTGAACAATTAACATTTCGACTTCTGACCGACTGTTCTTTTATCATTTCTGGCTTTACTATATTGGGATTTAATAGGCAAGGAATATAGTGTCATCGAGGCGGCCAACAGTTTATCACTTTTAGAAGTTAAAAGTTTGTTTGATATCAGTATATGGATCAACATTTGCAAAGATTTCAGTTTTTTATTGTTTTCTCATTTGAATACGGTAGGTTGAGTACTGAAAACTTAAGTGACTATTTTGGGATATTTTATATTGTAAATTTAACAAGTAATCAACAGCTTTTGTTAGAAAATAGGAAGTATAAAATTCCGAGAGAAATAAAATTGCAGTGGAAAAAATGTGCATTTATTTGGTCGGATACCTTCTCCTCTCAGGGCCTCGTAATAATCATCTTGCTAGTCATTACTTTGTTTTTATTTTTTTTGGTCATATGTTGGTTATACACTGAATTTAAAACCACTTTTTTTTTTTCACTAAAGGCTGGTTTGCTTTAAAAGTTTGCATTTCGTACCTTCTGCACAGTATTTTTTAAAAATTTGTTTCTAACTTCTTGTACAATTGATTTTGCTGAGAAAAAATTTATAAAAAAAGTCAAAATTACTTTTTGGGTTTATTGACGTGTATCTGGTACGGTTTTGAAGATGTCATAGTACAAAAAAGGTAAAGAAACGTTGCGACTTTCTCTCCCGAACCTCTAAACTTTATTTGCAGAAGTTTTTTTTTAAAAAAAATTTTACTGTGCTTAGTCACTTCTTAAGTATAAACAGAAGAAATCGATCCAAGCCACCCTGAAGGACAAATTCGTCCAACAATTTACTGAACCATCAGAATTTTAGTATTTTAACGAGACATTTGCTGCAACAGGACGATCATGTGCAAAAGAATTTGATGCATCAGCTAGATTCTATTTGACAAGCACGATTCGTTCACCCTGATTTGCCTATTTTGGGACCTGTGGCGCAGTCAAACGACCATTTGTCACCTTTTTTAGTAGCTGAGCAAGACTGAAAATTTGGTTCTGGACAGTTTTTGGCGCACACTTCTTTCTCGGTCTTTCCATCGCTTAGATCCACTGAAAAACGCTACTAATTAGATTAAGTTTGCTCCTCTCTCTTAAAACTTTATTGATAAGCTGAGATAGCCTTGAAAATCTGTAAATAAAAAAGTAAATGTTTTATCATTTTTCGTCGAAAGCATAGAGGCTCAAAGTTAGTCTGTTACTCATAATAAACAACAGCGACTTTCTGGAAAAAAAATCCTTGAAATTTGTGATTCCCTCAGTTCCTCCCTACGCCTCTTAAATTCTTGCTTCTTCATTGCCGGAATTGTAGCTTCAGAAACTCTTTCGTTTTTGAAGGTCCGAGCAGAATGAACTTAAAGTCCCGCTGGTCGCGACGGCTATATTTCTTTGCAGTAAGCTGAGATATGAAGTTCATAGGCTTTACGTTTTGCTCCTTCTGCGGCTATTTACTAAAGCACTGCAGTAATATGGAGGTTTGTAATCGCCTGTTTAATTATTACGTTAAAACAAGGACTCTTAATCTTCTTCAGTTGCGAAAAGTTTTCTCGAATGAAAAATTCTATTTTACATCCTCCTCACCTTCTGCGTTATTGCGGTCCTCGTCGCTTATTTTTATATTTGTTTTAAAACTCATTAAGACAGAGATAAACAAAGACCATTTTTACAACAGTTCGGTCTTACTGAAACTAAAAAAAAAAAGTTAAGACACAGTTTTAGAAGTTCCGTCAGTGTCCTTAATAAAGCTTTTCTGCAATGTACTACCTTAGGAACAACTGCAAATTTCAGAATATTCAACCGCCATCTTAAACCCTTATTGTTCTCTTAGAGGGCGGTGGTATAACCTATTGTACAAAAAATGACGACTAAACGTTGCATCTGTCTTTAGTAGGCTCATTTCTCTTGGCAATTTGGTTTTGAGAGTATGTAATTAAAAGCAGTGATGGAAAGAGGTAGAAAAATGCAAAAAAAATTCTAGCCTTCGCCGGAAATCGTCGCGGAATAAATTTGATGTGCCACTAAGAGCAGTAGTAAGAACGCAATCGGATACTGCTGCATTTGAATCTGAAACTGAGAACTAACAATTGTGGTAAGTCCCAAAGAGTGTAAAAAAACGTAATGTTATAAAAAAAGTGAATGTGTAAGTTCAGTTTTACACAAAGTTTTGTCTCTCTTAATCATTAAACTACGAGTGAAAATTTGCCAGACAGCTTTTTATCTCATACTTAACATCCAGAAGTAGCAAATTTAAGGGGTCATTTTGGTTGCATAGATTTACTGGAGATTAAAATAAATTAAGGAAAAACAAAGAAGAGGAGATTAGACGAGATTTTTCCAGGTAAGCTGCAGAAAGAAGTTTGATTTAAGTAAGCAAACCTTCCTTCACTGCGTTTTTATAGCGCAATTGTTGACATCAATTTACTCTACATCGACTTTTAATCAATCAGCAAAGTGATGTGTGATAAAGCAGAAACAAAGTTGAGAGAAAAAATTGGCATTAAGAAACAATAAATTTTTGGTCTACATACGTAATGTATTTTTTTTTTAATGTTGAAGACTGTCGGACAATATAATATTGTACTGAGGTGTGGTATTTTGGGTATTAGTCAGAAGAAGGTGTACACACAATAGCTGAGTTCACATCTAGTCATTTTTTTGGTTTTACTTAAGAATAACAGCAAATTACTTAAAATACTCACAAAAATCAGAGCGAGGAAGTGAAGAAACGGTGAAAAAAAAACATTTTGTTTTCAAAAATTAGTCTTAATCATCGCAATACTTGAAAGTGAAATGTTAACTGATCGCTGTTTGTCATTTGTTTTTTTTGGTTTTGAACAGAGTTTTATGTGTTAGCTGAAACTTAAGTCCACGCTTGATATCTTTTTTTAGAGTACCTCTCCACCACTGATCAGCTGAGAAGTTCTGCAAAACGATTTTTAAAACTTATTTTCTTTAAATTACTCAACAGATTTGGCAGATTTCTCAATTGTTGACTTAATTACAAATATATTTGGTGAAATCCTTATTTATTGACTATAAAAATAGCAAAGAAATATAGTTGTGTATTAAAGCGTTAAAAGTGTTATTGAACTCGCAAACTTTTTCTTCTGTAGAAACATAAAACTTTGAAACACGTACGTCAAGAGTTTTTAATACTTACTTTAATGCCGTAATCAATCTTTGACAGCAACTGTATGCACTTTGAAAGAGATCAGCGTATCTGGTTTACTGAAATTTTACGAACCGGTTTGTTCGATAAAAACAGTTTGCCGTGATCGTTTTATGAGACTTAGTTGAAATAAAATGCTAGTTTTTCTTTTCTAAAGAGGTGAATAAGGGGGTGTTAATACAGAAGAATTTTTTAAAATTATTATAGTTTAGTGAAAAATACTGAAGGATAAGAAGGAATATTGGAAGAACAGGTTTTAAACAATAAAAGTTAAAAAAAAGCTTAGAAATTTAGGTTAGATTCTATTCAGAATTCTTTCGAACAAACATTCCGAGAAGATCCTCTAGAATCTAAAAAATAAACTCAGAGGAATACCATTTAGTCACCAAAAAAAAAAAAATAAGTTTCACTCTTTGGAATTGAAATTAAATGTTATCAGTAGGGCTCAAGTCAGTTATGCCCTTGAAACTGCACCTTATTTGTAAATAACTTTTGACGGCTTTACTTCGTTGGTGTAGATTTCAGAAATTGCAGAAGCAAAAAGAGAAAAAGAAAGGTAGCTACGGTTTTTTCTGCATTCATCACCCCCAACTGCTTCCCGAAGCATGTTACGTTCACAGGAGAGTACTGAAGAACAGTATCTGAAATGTCGTAAAAAAAAAAAAGAAGTTTTTAATAATCCTTAGTTGTTACAGCATAAATCCTATGGTATAATTCTTGTTTAAATTAAAAGTGACTTTTAGTATGGTATTGTAACTTCTGAGTCCCTTTCTTTTCCACTTTTAAAAGTTTTTTTTATTTTCAAAACTAATGATAACTGTGAACTCAAATACTTTTTAATGAAAAGTTATCACAGGTATGTCAACTGCTTTTGCACATGAATTGCACAAACACAAGTCAGAACAATAGTGAAGTTCTTATCAAATTTTTTCAATTGTTTTTGAAATCATAAAAAAACTATTACCAAAGTTGATTGACGGTTAGACCTATCAGAATCGTCGTCTCAAAACAATTTAGCAGTATGCTGTTGAGTTTTTTTTCAGAAACTGTAACTGTCTTTTTTGTTTATCAATAGAAGAATTGAGAATAACTGATTCTGTTGTGAATATCGGTTTACAAAACGACGAGAATAGAATACCAACTGATTTGTAAATTATCAAAAAAAAATTTCTTGATCTAATGCTGTTGAATAAATTTCTTAAAAAACAAACAGTTTTTAGTAATAAGACAAAAGCAAGTTTTGATAATTTTATAGATTTTCCGACAGCAGTTGCAACTTACAATGAAATTATAGAGCATCAATGTTGTGCGACAAAAGAAATTGCAAAGAAAAATGTCCAATTTTTTTCTATCTGAATTCCATTTATTGTGTTTCTGATTTGATCAACTGCTTTCAAGTATTAATGATCTTCAAAAAAAAAAACCTTTTTTCAAAAATTTTTATAAAATCATAAAGGTGCTTTTACTTTGATTAGATCAGAGTCAGCAAAATTTAAATGCTTTATACCATCTCTAAGCAGAAGAAGATAAATAGTTGAGTACTTGACAGCGCTGTTTGCAAAAATCTCATAAAAGTGAGTCAGGTGTACCAATTCTTTAGTGTATGTATATGCAATACCAGTAACAGCTTTTCACATTTATAATCCACCAACAAGTTTCACACTATCACAGCTGCTGTTTAACAGTTAATGCAACAATAGTGTTCTAAAATCCACAAGAATTTATCAAAATTATTGTACACTATATAAAAACTGGGAAACAATAACAAACTCGCTTTCACAACAAATAAATAGAGACAAAAATCAGGAGAGAAAAATTCGAAATTTCAAAAATATTAAAGTGTAATATACTGCTTATAAATACTGAGTATAAAAGCTTTTTTTCCTAATGAAATATCAAACAACAGAATAATCAGCAAAAATAAATAGTCCTATTATTTTTTTTTTTTTTT